CCCGTTGCTTTGGTTTAATTCGCTTGGAAGGATATGATAAAATGAGTGTCTCCAGAAGTAAGATTCTGAAGGCTTCAATGACAAAGGAACGGAATTGTGTCTAGCGCATAGGCAAACCTGTTGTTTATCCATGTGGGGAATACTGGGGAAATGTGGAGAGTGGAGTTCTGTTTTTTTTGTTTTTAAATGAAATTGTGTTTGAAAAAGTAATTAAATATCATTAAGTAGGAAAGTTGTATTAGAATCAGTTCCAGCTGTGGAATTGCTGATACACGTCCTCTGGTATGTAAGGGGTTTTGGTAGTCTTTCTAATGCAGTCCTCTTACCACGAAAGCAGCAAGGCAGATCGTGTACTGTCTTCTTGATTTTGGGTCTAAAATGTTACGATGACAGCACATTGGGTAAATACTGGGGGGGGGCGGGGAATACTTCTCTGTCCTGTGACAAGAAATTTCTGTTTGGTCCCCTTAATTCCTTACTTTTACTTTATGGAGCTAATAAAGCAGGGTCAAACTACAGTGTGAAATGGGTAGGAAAAACTGAGATGCTGCAGGAAGTTTCTTGAATTTGATAATCTTTTAATAGTTAGAAGAAAGATGTTTTCATTTTGCAGAAGGCAGGAGAGCAACCTGAGGATTGCCTTCTGCAATGCCAAGAGCTACCTGGAGGCAGGATACCTAAGCATACTGAGGTGACGTTATTTTATGACTAGATCGGATAGGATTTCTCATCTGTGTCTCTTCCTTGTTGTTAAGAAATGCTATTGTAAATTGGCAATTATGTGAACCGTGAACGTGAACCGTGATTATGCATGCTTCCCAAGAAATATGCTGGTGTAAACGCAAAGGATGTATGCAGAATTAAGCAGCTGAAGTTCTTCAGAAGACCTAGATGCCCTTAATTCTGCTTTTGTTGTTGTGCCTTGAGAAATTTGTGTTATCTTACGCATCCTTAATATCCATTTTATCAGTTACCTCATATGCAATCTTAGCTTGTAAAGTGGCACATTTTTTATAATACTTTTTTCATATTTGGTACCTGCAAATAGGAGAACTTCCAGGATTCCTTTAAAATACTGAAAGCAGAGTTTACACAGAGAGTGAATTGCTAAAGGGGCACAGATCTTTTTATGAGATGGTTTGTTGTTTGTCATGCTGTGTGACATTGTGTGGTGATGCTTGGAAGATAGTCTGTGATATAAATACTTAGTATGGCTTGTTAAGTTCTGAAATGAGATGATATGAAAAGAGGACGTTACGAAAGATTAATGGGACAACAAAGCAGTATATATAGTGTTGGAGAGGTCTTGCTGAATAAAGTTGGTGTTACATAGTATATACGTTCAAAATCCTACAGGCAACGAAAGGTTGATGATAGCTTGTAGTGTAGCCTGTATTTCTGAAGAAATTTAACCTTAGGGGTAGATTTTGGTTAAATTTTCAGTTTCTTAAAGTATAATATGCATTCAGTTTTTTAATGTAATCTCATATTCATCTGGTTTAATATATAAATAACTTTATTGCACCACCAAACAATAAAGGGAAAAAAGTGACATGAAGTAAATCTCATTTCACTGCAGCTGAAAATTGGTTTTGTGGCTTTTTAGGGCTTGTCTCCCAGGGAAATTGACAGGATAGCTGTTGTGTAATAGCAGTTTAGATGTATCTGCACAGTGCAACTCCCTGAGGCTGGTATTATGTTCCTGAAGAGGAACAACATCTTTCTAAAAGTATAGTATTCTAAATAATGACTATACTTTGTAAGTACATAAGATAGAGGAAACAGAAGCCACCTTGCTGCTGAATGAGGAGTACATTCTCATTGAGCACAGTTTTAATTAACTTCTTCAACTTCATATTGATCTGTTTGTCTTCATTTTACTGAATGTCTCTTCGTAGGTAGGTTAGGGATAGGCAGCCACTGCAGCAAAGGTAGAATGAATTCCTGATGGCATGTTGTCATATATACTCTACATTTGAATCTATAGAAATATAAATGTATCTTGATCGTAATGTCTGCTAATATTTTTATATATGAATGTATGCACAGGTCTTTGTTTATTACTAGCTGACATGCAAAATGAGAGAATGACTGAACAGAGGGTTCTTCTGCGCTTGAATGAACAAGGTCATATTTTACTTTGTAGTAAAAACTTCAATCATGATACGCTTTTTAAGTGACAAAGCAAGTTGCCCTTGGTTTTGGTTTCATAGATAAGTATCTTCTTTATTATGATAACATGACTTTAAGGCTTTTCTGCAAGAGGAATAAAAGGAAAAAATGAATTGGCAGTAGCAATTCCAAGTTTAAGCTCCACAGTGCCTTGGTATTGTCTCCCTCCTTTAACAGGTGTATCTGCTCCCTATTCTTGCCCCCACTGGAATATGCGAGAGGATATAACATGCAAGCTCGGGTCTCTCTTATTTTCTTCTCTGATATGTTTTAGGGTAGACTCTAGTCTTAATTGCTGTCAGGTGTCTCTTGGAAGAAGGCAATATGACTGCAATGTCCTCTGGCTCCTTCTCAGCCAAACCTTTTCCTCTGCAGCGTCTTGCACCTGGGCCTGCATTTCTTCAGTACCCCTTTCTTTCTGCCCTCAATATCTCATATGCTGTCTAGACACTTGCCTATTTCCAGAGTTTCAGTGGAAGGCCTTGCAGGCAAGGGCTACTTTCATCTTCATATACAAAATATTTTTGAGTGACCAGATCTGGCAGCAGTGGCACAATCAGTTCTTTGCTGCAGTTGTTACTGAATGAAGGGAGCAGGTTTTTCAGATTTGCAATGGTGAAGCAGTCCTTCATTATGCTTTGCAGAGACAAGGAATAGATCATCCCAATTTATCTGGCAGTGACCTACATTGAGAAGATGCTATGAATAGTGAGAAGTCCTCTATTGGAAAATAGCCCAGTAAGTTGAGGTGGGTGAAAATAAGTACCAAAATTATAGAAGATAAATAGCGCGTGAAGAAGGGAATAAGAGGTACACTGTATTCTCAGAATGGAATTAAGAAGTTAGAAAAATAAGAGAAGTCCATTCTTTGGGGATAGAGGTCTTTGAAAGTTTGAGAGAAAGTGGTAAGAACTTTTAATGTGTCATCTGCCCCTTGAGGCTTCAAGACCAGGTGTATCAGTTTGGGCTGAAACTCCTAGCTGTGCTGGTTTTGGCTGGGATAGAGTTAATTTTCTTCATAGCTAGTATGGGGCTATGTTTTGGATTTGTGCTGAAAACAGCCTTGATAATACAGGGATGTTTTAGTTATTGCTGAGCAGTGCTTACACAGAGTCAAGGCCTTTTCTGCTTCTCACCCCACCCCACCAGGGAGTAGGCTGGGGTGCACAAGAAACTGGGAGGGGGCACAGCCAGGACAGCTGACCCCAACTGGCCAAAGGGCTATTCCACACCATATGGCGTCGTGCTCAGCATATAAAGCTGGGGGAAGAAGAAGGAAAGGGGGGTCGTTTGGAGTGATGGCATTTGTCTTCCCAAGTAACTGTTACGCGTGATGGATCCCTGCTTTCCTGGAGGTGGCTGAACGCCTGCCTGCCCATGGGAAGCAGTGAATGAATTCCTTGTTTTGCTTTGCTTGCCTGCGTGGCTTTAGCTTTACCTATTAAACTGTCTTTATCTCAACCCAAGAGTTTTCTTATTTTTACTCTTCCGAATCTCTTCCCCATCCCACTGTGGGGGGAGTGAGTGAGTGGCTGCATGGGGCTTAGTTGCTGGCTGGGATTAAACCATGACACTATCTCAGTATTTCATCTCTAACCAATGACTGAAGCTTATACCACCTTATAACTCCTCAGAGTATCTTCCCTGCTCTTTTAGAGCTAGGTTTCATGAACCAGAGATGGCATCTACGTTGAGTGGCCCTTAGCATTTTGTTTTTCTGTGAACTTGTCTGAAAAACATTACTTCTGCACTACACATGGATAAATTTTGGTTCTCAAATCCAAATACCAACTTCATTTCACTTTCAAAAATGTTGGAATTACTTTCATTCCAGTTCTTTTGCAGTTGGCAAAACTGGGAACACAGAAACTTTGTCAATGTGAGAAACAGAGATAATCTGATCAAGATCTCAGCTGTGTATTTTAGCTGTCATATCATTTCAAGTGGCCTTTGTGCAACATCAGTGTCTGGAACTTCCCCTGAGAGAGTTCTGCAGGCTTTTTTAAATTCTTTTCAGCAGTTGTGTTTTCTAAATACATTTTCACAATCTTTGCTACTTTGCTTTCGCAATTATTACTACTTTTTAAAAGTATCTTTAATATATCAAAACAGGTGCTATTAAATTAAATATAATTAAAGTAAGTTTAAGTGGTAACGTTTTGAAAGCTTTTAAAAATTGCTGAATAATCCTGTAGCAGAACCTGCCTTCACAGAATGCGTGATCCTAACAATGGCTCGCACCCCTCCCTATGGTCTGTTAGTTTTTATCATGTAGTAGATTACTTGATCATAGCCATCATTAGAACACATTCCATGGTAAAATCAAAGCACGATTATGAAGGAGATTTAAATTAAGAAAAAAAGTCTTTCACCTTTCTTGGTTTCATGCTTAATTTTTACAACACTGAGTTATTCCTATTTGCATTTCATAGTTTTATTTTTGGGATGTGTCTTGTCTAGCCTAGGCAGACAGGCACTGAGCCAGAGAGTAAAATATAAAGGTTGAACAGCAAGAGAGTTAGCAGTCCAAGTGTAGCCTTCTGTTAGAGGTGTCAGCAAAGACAAAGATAATTATGAAGAATGAATGCAATAAGATGAGGGAAAGTTCAAATAATAGCATGGGATAGTGGGTGTGATTAGAGATTATTAAAAACACATTAAAAAATTTTGCAAAACATGCAAAAAAAAATCCTGTCAGTTTATTTAAACTTGGGGAGGGAACCATTAAATAAATAATAAAAAATAAACTGAAACATTTTCAATTGTATTGTCTCGGAAAGTATGTTCTATGTTGTTGTCTCCTTCTGAATATTTCTCTGTTGGTTTTTAGGTTTCTGTCCTCTACCTTGTACATCAGTGGGATTCACTCTGCTGGAACAAAATAATGTCATCTTCAACCCATTGAAGGAAAGGGGTGAGCAGCTTTCTCATGGCCAATATTTTATCTCCTTTAGAAAGCAGTGCGCCGTGGAAGCAAATATCGTTGTGTATTTTGATGAAAAGTGAAGCCAGTTCTAGATGCTTTTCATGTGTCAAACAGGCCTGCTGTTTTGATTTTTGTTTCTTTTAAACTTTGTATGTGAATATAAGGATCTATGTTATAGAGCAAGTGCCAGGACTAAAGTTAAATAAGACCGAACAAATTACCATGCTGAATCTGCCAGTCGTCCATTTCTCTCTGAAGGACTTCAAAGGAATGTGTATAGGGGAAAATCAGAAGGAATGATTACTTGTTAACAAGTCTGTTGGGTAGTTTCTTCACAACCCTAAGACAGTTAGTGGTTGGTTTATACCCTGAAGCATAACTATTTATATCTCTTACAAACATCTGTTGTAGCTTGTATGTGTTAAAAATGATATTACTGAACTCCAGCAGCTTACTTGCACCTTATGTTAACGTTACTGGGTGGTCTCTTTGCTCTTAATTATGAAGGAGTAAGTAGAGCAAGTGAGGAGTGATGTATGTTAAGTGATCACTTTGTGTACATGTTTCAACTCACCTTTAATCTCCTCTCTTAGATACTCCTTAACCTGCACAAAGTCTCCACATCTGTAATTATTATTACCCCTCTTAATTTAGCTTGCTTTCTACTCTACGTTTTACCTTCATACTTAATTTTATTAAAGGCTTGAATTTTTTTTCCCTCTGCTTTGTTTTGCAGAACACAATGCTTTTATGAATTCCCTTTCACCACAGATATCAATGTAGTTTCTGATTGCAGTTCATGCATCAGCTTCCAGTTTACATGACCTTAAACATTTCCTTGGGTTTTCCTCACACTGTGTTTTCAAAATAAATAGAATGGGAGTTAATTCTGTTCTGCATGAAGCAGACTGGCTGACTCTCTCAGCCTACGGTTATTTTTTTTTTTATTTGTAACTCTGAATATAATGCAAATGCACAGTTTTCCTTCTACTCTTGATCTCTTTAACAAAGAATAATTGGCATTTTTAAAGCTAAGTTGTCCAGAAGTCCTGTGTTCTTAGGCCCACTTCAGATACCTTAGGCCATATAGTATTGGGTATAGCTGTGCTGGTTAAAGATGGTCCTGCTGTGAGTTGATAATTGCCACACATGAGCCAGAAATTACCACACTAATAGGTCAGCCAAGAGCAGGGGTTGTACGAGTGCGCAGCAACGTGCTTCAAAGTCAGCTGGTTTACATCATAGCCACCTTTAACAGCGGGTTGAACTAGCCTTCATGTAAAAAGGATCAAAAATCATTCATGTGTTCTGTGGGCTCAGTGGTAGAGCTATGGAAGTAATTAGCTCTGGCAGGGTGGCAGTGATAAACATCTGGGAGCGATACCAGCTTCATCTAGCATCGTTATTTGCAGAATGAACATCTGCTTAGGCTGTGTATCTGCTAACTAGAACTAGATATTGTATCCTAAATTAGGTTATAAAAGCCAAATGTGTAAATACCTTTTCAGTTATTTTTCTTAAAGTTTAACATGGTTTGTCTCTTACCACTACTGGGTAATGAGAAGATGTTTCTCTTTAGTGAACCAAAGTAATTCCTCAGTTAATTGCCTCAGTTTAAGTGTGTGATTAGCTCAATTTGTTCTTCTTGATTTGCTGTAGTTGTCTTCACTAAATCTCATCAGTTGCTATCTTGCCTAATAGCTTAATCTTCTACTGTAATTATAAGTCAGAGGGGAAGGTCTTACGGGAAATAAAGGATACACCCATGTAGAATTCTTTCCAGCTGTTCGCCTGGGAGAGGATAGGGCAAAAGTCCTTCTCGATGAAATAATCTATGGATCTAGCTCAAAGCTGTGCACCTCTTTCTTCCTTCGTGTGGCCTGAGGGATTTCCAGATGTGGAATGTCTCTTCCTTATGGAAATCTGGAAGGAAGGGTTGGTCCAGCTTGTCTGATTCTCCAGAAATTCTTGCCATGTCCTGTTGTCTTCACCAGTTTACATGTGTTATCTTTGTTGCTTCCCTCTCCATGTTGTTCTTTGTGTCACTAATATGATCTCACATCCTTGCTTAACTCTAAAACACTTCCTCTTCTGCGACTGTTTTACCTCTTTATTTCCTCCTTTCTGACTAAGAACTTCATCTTTCTCCCATGGCCAAACAATTTCTTTTACAGCATTTTGTGAGGAGCTTCTTCAGCTTCAAAAACAATTGCTGAATAGTGTTTGCTCTTTTTTTGTTGATCTGTTCAACTGTTCTACTTTTATTTTGAGGGTAGTTTGGTCTGTGCTTTGGATATCACAGTCAGAAAGTAAATATGTGCCTTTTGAGAAGGAAGAAAAGCAGCATTTTGTATGTGACCTTTCACTCTGTATAAATACAGAAAGACACTAATGCCCCAGTTGTAAATTACCATTTATGAAAGAAAATAAATGTTTAAATGTAAGGCAAATGCTTACAGGGCTGATGTTTTAGAATATGTCCCCTTGAAGTATTTTGAAAGATATCTCACTTTGCTATTGTGGCAAATGCTGATTTAACTTTAATATTAAATGATTCATAACAATAAAAAAAAATTGAAAGATCTCAAGTACTTCCATCAGTGAACGCATTTGTGTCGTTCCCATTTTTTTTTTTATTTTGGTGGAGAAATCAGTAATATTTTTGGAGTTTCCAAGAAAGAGATGCCGATGTTCTATAAAGACAGAAAGACAAACTAGAACCAGAAAATACTTTCATTAAAGTATTGGGAAAACTCTAAATGCAGTCTTTACTCTTTTCCTCTGTAAATCGTATTCTTAAGAAAAACATACTTTAGCATAGGAGTTCCCAAACTGTAGCATACCTTTTAGCTAGTATTCCACAAGCTATTTAAGATGGTATGTGCGTGTTGTCTACAGATAGAAACTTGTTCAGCTCTGCAAGCGCGTGACCCAGTGTCAGAACCAAGATCTGCTCTGTCTTCTCATATTTGTCCTTCCCAAGATGCTTTTGTGTGAGTAACAGCTCCATTTAAGCATGAGTGAGTGAAAGTCAATAACCTCGTTTGTAAAGGAAGTCATGCTTACATCATCCTGGTGAACTTCTCTGGTCTTTAAAGCTGGGTGTTTTTTTGAAGGAAAAAAAAAAGCATTACTGCTTAGGAATCGCACTTTGAATAGAACTTGATGGAAAGTAACGCTTGAGGTTTGTCCTGAGGAGTTAAGTTTCTCTCTCTGCCTGAAACTGTTAAGTAAACGAAGAAGGGAATCTTGAAATTTTGTCCTCTGTTTCCTAAATGAAACATTTACTTGAGGCTATTATTATCTGTAGGGGAAAATACCCGGAAATGTAAAAATTGCTCTTCATAATGGTCATATACTGTAGGAGTATGCAATGGTGAAGGAAAGATTTAAAAATAGTTGAAAAATTTGTAGTGATTGAACACATCACAAAGAAAAAAGTTTTTGTTTCAGATCTTAAACTGGTGAAAATTCTAATACTTAGTTCTTTATAAGTGGAAGAGAACAGAAAACCTGGAATTAATACCTGGGTGTAATCTTTTTCAAGACACGTGCTCTGTCTTCTTTTCTAATATTAATATTTTTTATAGTAGCTGAACATTAGGACTGCTATGTGTCAAGGAAAATTGAGTTCTGTGGTAATATTTAATGGTAAAGCTTAACGAATTATGTTATTTCAGTTGTAATGGCTGCTAATCTGACAAGAAAATGAAATGTAAATTAGTAATTTGATGGATAAACTCTGTCTGGTGGTGGTGCTGTGCTAAATTGTGGTGTGTTTGGGTTTTTTGGTTTTGGTTGGTTGTTGTTTTTACTTAATGTCCAACTTTAAAAAAATGTTTAATTCATCTGGGCACTAAACTCCAGCAATGCTTAGAGGGAATAACATACATAAATTTACTTATGTTATAATCCTACTAAAATTAATATTTCTCAAAGTATCAAATGTCTATGAAAATGAGACTTTTGAATTCTTAAATCACTTCTGAAACTATATAATCACATAGGCCCAGTTGTTGAAAAGTTGATAGATACTGTTCTGTTCTTTGAGCATTAAATGACTTGGATGGTGGATTCCTGATGTCAGAAGTGATTTGAGACTGTGGTTTCTAAAAGGAATTTCAGGCCCTAATTTTAGAATATGGGATTCATACTCATAAGTAAACAGGGTATTCCTTAACACCTTTTACATTTGGTTCATTGATTGTAGACTATTATTATTTCAGTTACAGTAGTGCTCAATGTGTTGTTAGCCTTTTCAAAACACAGACACATAAATCTTTGATTGTTTCTAGTTTTTAAGTATTACCGTAGAATAAGTTAGTTAAGTTGTGCAAAAATAAAAAGTTTACTTGAAGTTTGTGAATGTAAAAGAAACTCAGCCTCTTATTAAAAATCTTACGTTAAAATATAAAAGGATACAATGAACTTTTTGGTGATGAAACTGTTGCATTTTCCACCATGATTTTTTTTTTTTTTGAAAATGCGTGTAACTGTCATTGTCAATAAACTTGCTGATTTTTGGGGGCAGAGGTGTGTGTAAATCTTTATTTTTTTTCATCTTTTTTAACTGGATTCTAAGTGGCCACTGTTGTAACTGACTCTTTTTTTTTTTTTTTTTTTTTAAAGAATATTTGTTCATACTTATGATGATTTGACATAATTAATGTTTTATTAACCATGATGGCAACACAGACATTAAGTATAGACAACTATCAAGATGGACAACAGGTAGGTGTGTTTTTCTTTCTCTATGGATGAAATACAGTGAGCAAGAGAAAAAAGGTCGTGACTTTTTCCTTAATGCCTGCTTTGGCATTGTTTAAGTATCTGTTCTTGTCTGTAAAACAAGATCTTTAAAGCAATAAGCTGCTATTCTTTAATACTTGGATACCTGTTAAAGGCTTAGCTAATCTTTGTATGACTTTGCTTAACTTCTGGAAAAATGGTTAGATAAGGGATTTACTTCTGAATCTGCTCTAGATGTTTTGTGTGCTGTAATGTTTGTATTTTTAGGAAGGTCAAATGGGCATTTGTAATATTTTGTGTATAAGATACTTCAGTGTCATTGTGTGTCTGCAGTTATAATAGATAGATGACGTTTACGCAGTCATAGGCTTGATCTCAAGCAAGTGAAGGATAAATTTAGTTATCTAGAATTATATGCTACTTTGACTACATTTAAGTTGATGCAATTTTGCTGCAGGCTAAAAACTGGTAAAATACTTGAATTCATTTTAATGAGGTTATGATTAGAATTGCTAATTAGAAGGCTGGTCAGTGGGCTTCCAGTTTCTTATTTGTGTTAACAAACAGCTAGAATAATGAAACATACTCAGATATGTCTGGTCATGATGTTTCTTTTTTTGTACAACAGGCTGTATATTGCAACAATTTGAATTGCTAAATTAAAATACTGTTAACTGGAGACAAGTCATGCTGGTGGCCTGTACTCTGAAGACCCATTTTTATGTTACTATGTGTCAGCCCTAAGCAGTAAATACAAGTACTTCTGTCAGCAGATGGCAACAGTGGTGAACAGTCAGAAGAAAACCAGCAACTTTTCCCATCTCTTATAAAAAGATGTTTATCTGAATGCAATTTGGGGTTATTGATTTCTGTTGTTGTTGTTTGTTTCTTTTATCGCAATTCTAATTTCTCTTTTTCCTTTCACCTACCTTACATCTTTTACTTTATGCCCCCAGCAAATACATGCCATCCTGTGACACGTCAGTGAAAGTAATACATCTTTTTGTAAAGAACGGATTGGGAGAGAGCATTTTCTTTCTATTTGTTTTGTATTTTAAGCTCTCGGTGACCAAGACAGACAGGTAATTTGGGTGCCTGCTGCTTTTGTAGTTTGGAAATGGCCCACAGAAAATAGCTTGCAGTTTTAAGTGAGCTATTTCCTCTTTCTAGTGAGATAGAGCCCTAAATGAACATGCTCTCTCCCTTCAAACTCTGCAGATGTATGGCTCAACATTCATAATTACTTGTATGAGTAATCCCCTTTTATTTTGCTCCTCCTTCTTGTCATTAGCCAAGAAATGAGTCCATTAGTTGCATCTTTTTTGCAAGCATTGTGGAAGCTTTTTGCAAGGCAGGCTGCTCTGTTGGGCTAGGATATGCTGGCATTTTCTCAGTTTCTGATTTTGCTAGGAGATGGCTTGGCCTCAACAGTTAATAAAGCACAAAACTTTTGGTTCTCCCAGACTTCTTGTTGGGAATAGTATAAATTCCTTTTGCTTATGTTGTGTGGAAATACATTAAAGTCTGTCAGAGTCAGGTTCTCTAATAGTTTCTGGAGGCCAGCCCTCCTCTTGGAGGGTTCCTGTGAGTGAAATGGTTTAGGGACATGGTTTAGAGGTGGACCTGGTAGTTAGGTTAATGGTTGGACTCAATGATCTCAGAGGTCTTTTCCAACCTTAATGATTCTATATGATACGTACATCTCACGGGGAAAAGAGGGCAGAGGATTGCATTCTGTACGCTTCCTTTCTGCAGGTGTCATTTCTGGCTGCCTGGTGATATCTGAAACAGTGTCTGTTCTCTACTCAAGATAAAACTTCTTAGGGTTAAACTAGAAAAAAAAAAGATTGCAGTGATTTCTTGTCTTTGTACAGATGTTCTCATGGCTCAAAGGGGAGACAACCAAGGAGTTTGGGTTGCGGGTCAGAGGTCATGTTCCTTTAAGACCTTTTAGTCTGAAAGATATTTAGCTGGAGGTGATGGGAAAACCACTTTCAACACCTTCAAAGTACCTCAAAGACATTACCAGCCACCTAGTGCAATTTTGGAGGTGCTCAGTAGAAGCTGTGGCTCTGTTGTTTTTCCAGTGGTGGCAGATTGTGTAACTGTGTGTTAAATGGATTTGTAGAAGCAGTTACTGTTGTTTTCTCCAGTAGCTTGATATTCCTAAAATAATTTGTTATTACAGTATGTAAATTTGAATGGTAAAGGTCAGGGGAGGTTTTGCTCCTGATAATTGAAATATTGGAGGGACACAGAATATTTCAGTTCTTTTGTAAGAAAATGTGCATTTTAACAGACAAGAAAAACTTCAGGATCTCTTTTTCTTCAGTATCCTGATACAATGTACAGTAAGAAATAAGAAAGAAAAGAGTAGAAACTTTCCTTTCTCTTGGTTTCATCCTAAAGGCTTTTTATGCAGATGTCCCCATAAATTTTTTGGAGCAGTGTACTCTAGCCTATTCCAAAAATAGCCACTCCAGAGACAAAATGCCTTAACAATTTACTAATATCTGTCATTCCCATTTTAAAGGCAAGTGCTGAAACTTGAAGTGACCTTTACACTACCCATCAAAAATCGTCAAGGATTAAAAGAGGGCTTTTGTTACTGCTATGGCTTTTTGTGTAACTGCAAAGTCATACCAACCTTCTGGCAATTTAGTAGCCCTTTGCATTTCTATTTCCTTAGAAAACAGTACACTTATTTTACATCAAGCATACGAATTTACTTATAACTTACTCTTTTTCTACAGATGCAAGTAGTAACAGAGTTAAAAACTGAACAAGATCCCAACTGCTCTGAAACTGATGCAGAAGGGGTGAGTCCTGCCCCTGTAGAATCTCAGACTCCAATGGATGCAGACAAGCAGGCCATTTACAGGTAGTAATGGACTCGTGTTCTGTCTTTTGAAGCGTAAAGAATAGAGGATTTTTTCTTTTTTAATTAATAATAAGTAGCTTAAAATCAGATGATCTCTTGGCTAACTGTCTCAGTAGTTTGCAGGGAAAGAATGAGATCAAATTATCTTCAATGTCAGTCTTCAGCCAAGAAAAAAAACCTTCCCTTTATTGTGGGATTCTTCAGTTTCAGCATAGTTTTAAAGGATATTCTGAAGGTGGCTGCCTTTAAAGCATAAGTGAAATTTAGCAAGCTACTCAGACTGTTGAACTATGGTCACTATTTGTTATACTGTAGTTTTTATCTTTAATGTGTGTTTTTATTTTTATTGTAATTTGGTTGATCTTTACTCCCTTTTCTTTAGGGATAACAATCTATTGCCCAGTAATTAGCTCAAACTGGATTAACTGTTGATGTATAAACAGATTAATTTGAGATTTTCCAGTGTTAAGTGCTGTGCGAAGCAGTATGCTCAGTTTTGATGAGGTTAAGTGCTCTTTCACTTTAAGTGCTTTATAAAGACACAATTATTACCAGTTTGCATGTAAAAAAAAAAAAAAGACAACGCAGAACAAGCAGAAAGATGGATCCACTCATTTACAGACTTGGGATAACAAAATCATCTTCTGATCTGAGCATGATTTCATAGGAGGCCTTTGAGTACAGCCCGCATACTATTCTCAGTTCTGTAAAGATATTTGTGATGTATAAATAAGGCCCACACTGAAGAATAAATGAATTTTATCAGACTTTATTTCATAATTTAAATCTGCATTCATCCTATTTGTAAATCCTAATCCTCATTTCTAATGCACTGTATTAATGTACCTCTTGCCGCTCAATTGCAGTAATTAAATAGTATGTCATAGCTTGTGATTGTTCTCTTTATTTAAATATACATATTTTAACTGCTTTACTTGCCTCTAGAGTGTGCAGTAAATCAAAATGAAAAAAAAATCCCACAAACTTTCATCATGTTTTGCTAGAGCCACTGGTGTTATATCCGTTCTCTTCCAAGATTTGTCTTTGTTTGTTACGTGAGTGACTGTTACCTTATGTGAGCTAGATGTCTTCCTTTTCAGTGGTGTACATGTAAGTGAAAATACTTATTCATGTGTTTTAACTTTTATTCTAGGCACCCGCTATTTCCCTTGTTAGCACTATTATTTGAAAAATGTGAACAATCTACACAAGGCTCAGAAGGCACAACTTCAGCTAGTTTTGATGTAGATATTGAAAATTTTGTAAGGAAGCAGGAGAAAGAAGGAAAACCCTTTTTCTGTGAAGATCCAGAAACTGATAATTTGGTAAGTATAAGCTGTTTCATTTATTTCTGAGACAATAATCGCATTTGCCTCTTCCTAATTTCTGATCTTAACTGGTACTTACAGTTTCTCCTCACATTTCTCTTTCTGCAAGAGATTCCTCTTTATGTTAATGCTAAGAAACATTTTTTTTTAAATGTCTTCTGACCCCTTTTTCCCCTCTTCTCTGTAAACTGACATTGGGTCCTTCTCAGTTGTTTCCAATTCTAAACCGGCTGAAATCGGTGTGTTAGAGACGAACAGAAACATATGCTTGCCATAGCCAAGTTGACTCTGCAAATCAGTTTGAGTGTCAAGTGTGTAACATATCTTTATCAAAAATATGTAATTGATGTAAGTTTTTTTCCAGCTGTGGGTTTTGTTTTTTTTTTTAATCAGGGTTCATCTAGTTAATGAGGGAGAAGAGCTGTTACAAGATGAGCTTAGAAACTCTTTAATGTATACAAATTTTTTTCTTGCATGTCATTGTCTCCTTAGGCTTTCTGAAAGTCTTGCCTGTGATGAAGCTATGATTTCTTCAGTCCCTTAGTCTTCCTCTTGAATCACATCTCTAGAGAACACCTCTCTTGGCCTGCTAGTTTCTAACCTGTCTACCTGCCTTCCTCTCTTTAGAGTCATGTTGCAACTAGAGTTTATCATATCCAAGAGTGTTAGCATTATAGGGATCAAGTGGTTTGTTTCATTTTTTGAAAACCTGTTTTTTTAAGGGGACAGTGTAATAAAACAAGTCTTCATTCTTGAGTCTACCTCATAGGAGAAAAGGCTACTTGAAATATTGAAGTTCACAAACAAAACTAAATGGATGGGAGGTTGTAAACAACAGAAATTATAATGTTTTAAAGCTGATACCTAGAAAGATTTATGTGGGCAAATAATATCCTGTGTGGGAGGCTAAGGTAATGTACGTGGAGAACACTTTTAAACAAAACCAAGACTTAAACAAGAAATAAATCTGAGAATTGGTAGGAGTGTTGCAATGAACAGCATGTTAGGAGGAGCACGTATTGTCGCAAAAAAGGGGTCAATTTTGGCTGCTTTTGCAAGCAGCCTAAATAGTCATTTTGCATAACTTGATTTCTTTCCAAGCACTTTATGACCAATCGTTGGTGTACTTAAGTTCTGGGAAGATAGTATTTAAATAGTGTCATGGAAAATAAAGCTACAAGAGTCTCTATGTATATTTAGACCAGTGTGAGAGTAAAGAAGGCAGAAGACAGTATGTTCTAGAGTGAGGCAAGCTTTTACAGCTCTGGCTGAAGAGGCATAAAAAGTTACCTTTTCAGCTATTTGTTATATCCTTTTAACTGTAGGTTACATTGCCCAGGATTGAAATATCTTAATACATTGTGTCACTGATCTTAGTCCTTGTGAATATAAAGTCACCTTAGATTAAATCTAAGCAAAATATTGTTGTCACTGTAGGGATTAAAAATAGAATGTGAAAGATGAAAAACAAAGGCATGGGGAAATAAACAATAATTCTCTTTAGTTACTGCCCTAGTGTGAGCAGCAGTGGGGTGGGGTGCTTTGCTTATTTAACTATTTTTTATTTGAAATGTGAGTGGTGTAATATTACGTTTATGAAATATGTGTAGCACAATATAATGATGGTCTTGCATTTGTAAGCAGAAATAAGTACTTCAGAATGGTTATAATGAGATGGTCTGTCTGTGAAGAGTATGGCTGCTCCATTGAGGTGCAGAAATCCTTGGAGATTGAGGGCCACTGGTACCATCTTTTTAGATCTTTTTTGAACAGGAAAGCACTGAGGCAAATTGGGGGGGGGAAGTGCATTATTGAGGGAGAAGGAGATAAATACTTCAAAGAGCCATTAGTTTCTGAGGAAGACTAAATCCAGGCTAAAAAACACCGTTCATCATGGATGCTAATTTGCACGTCTACAAAATCTTGTGGGACCTTTTCATTGTTAAGGAATGAACTGCATACAGAATTCCCCAAATAACATACCAGTTTCAGGATCTTGTAGTGTGACCCAGGTATCTAGAAAGTTGACTACCAGGAATGCTTATAATTTTGGAATTGCTTCTTTCTTTATCTCTTTCACTCTGTAATATGTTGGGGTTTTTGTAACTACTATCAGTGACACCTCCAGAGTGCTTCTTGCACATCAGCTGTGAATTTGAAGACACCAATAAAACTTCCAACAGCTCTTTCTTCAAAGACTTTTTTTGAACATGCTTGCCTCCAATACTTTACTCAAAAACGAGAGTCAGTTCTGTTCTGCATGAAGCAGGTCTGCTGGCTTGCTAAGCCTCAGGTTATTTTCTTCATTTCTAACTCTCTGAATTCAACACAAATATACTGTTTTCCCTTATGTCTCTAATCCCAATTTATTTTCAGAAGCACATCTGAAATCTAATAGTTGGAATGTAGTAGTTCTGTCTCAGTGGATGAGGAAAGAGCAATGGATGTGGTTTATCTTGACTTTAGTAAGGCTTTTGACATTGTCTCCTATAATGTTGTGATAGACAAACTGATAAAATACGGACTAGATAAATGAGCACTGAGATGGACTGAAAACTGGGTGAACTGCTGGACTCAAAGGATTGCGATCAGCAGCATGAAGTCCAGTTGAAGGCTAGTCATTAGCAGTGTACTCCAGGGACTGATACTAGAACCATGTTTAACATCTTCATTAATGACCTGGATGATGGGACAGTGTACCCTTGGCAAGTTGGCAGATGTTGCAAAACTGGGAGGAGTGGCTGATGACCAGGTGGCTGTGCTGCCATTCAGAGGTACTTCGTTGCTTTTGGAGAAATAGGCCTACAGGAATCTCATGGAATTCAACAAAGGGAAATGCCAAGTCCTGTACCTTGGGAGGAGTAACCTCATGCACCGGTGCACTCTGGGGGCCAACCAGCTGGAAAGCAGCTTTGCAGAAAAGGACGTGACAGTCCTGGTGGACACCAAGCCAAATATGAGACAGCAACGCATCCTTGTAGCAAAGAAATTTAACATACTTGGGCTGCGTTAGGAAGAGCATTGTCAGCAGGTCAAGGGACCTGATCCTTTCCCTCTGCTTGGCACTGCTGAGACACATCTGGAGTGCTGGGTACAGTTCTGGGCTCACCACTACTAGACATAGACATACTGGAGTGAGTCCGGCAAAGAACCAAAAAGATGATTAGGGGACTAGAGCATCTCTCATATGAAGAGAGGCTCAGCAAGCTGGGACTGTTTAGTCTGCAGCAGTAAAGGTTTGGGGAGATATTATCAATGTATCTAAATACCTAATGGGGGAATAAAGAAAACAGACTGTCTGACTCTTCTCAGTGGTGCCCAGTGACAGGGCAAGAGGAAATGGACATAAACTGAAACACAGGAAGTTCCATTAAAACATAAGAAAAAACATTTTTACTGTAAGGGTGATTGAATACTGGAGCACGTTGCCCAGAGAGGTTGTGGAGTCTCCATCCTTGGAGACAGTCAAAACCCAACTGGATGTGGCCCTGAGCAACCTGCACTAATTGACCTTGCTTTGAGCAGAGGGGTTGGATTAAACAATCTCCAAAGGTCCCTTCCAACCTCAACTGTTCTGTGGTTTCTGTGAGTCTTCAAAGATTGGTTTCCCAAAGATCCTGCATGCGTTGGTGTGTTTCGCGTGCTTTTGGTTGTACACAAACATTCTCTCAGATCTAGCTTACTTTGGTTGTAGATGGGTCTGCTGTGTTCAAATAGTCCTTCCTGCCAATTGACTCGTTTGTGATTTTAGTGGTGACGAAGTCTCTTGGTTTATGTGGTATTCACCTTTGTTGATAAGCTGCACGAATCTGGCTGGTTTTGCTTGAGACCGATGAGGAAGTATTAGTTTGTCTCGTATTCCATACCTGCTGAGGTCAGTACTATCTTAAACTGGAACCACATTGCAAAATCAAAAATCTTTGGCATTGAACTCATGTTCTGTAGTCGTATTGTTAGCTATGACTTTCTATTACTAGGTACCAAATGAAACCTGAGTGCAACGTGTCCTCTGCCTGTCCTGAAGGCTGGGGACTCTGAACAGCTGACATTCTGACAGGCTGTTAATTTTGTCAGGGGCAATGAACAGAAGAGTTTCTGTCAAGTTGTGAAATAGCTAGTACGGTTTTCAGTCTCTTCTTCAGCTTGAAATATTGGTGCTTGCACACAGAAGGCTGTAGCTGGGCAGCTTTTTCTGCCTTGTGTCACATAAATATATACATTTTTATAGAGATTAAAAATCTCTTTTTAGTAGAGGGGGATTCCAATATCGTGCACATTTGTTAAGTCTTCTGTTCTTGCTGTCCCTCCCTTTTTAACTCCAGTGTTAAATCAACCATTCACTTGAAAGGAGAAACTAGTGAAGACTGCTAATTAGAGCTAGCCAGAAGGGTGGAGCAGGTAGGCCAGACAACTACTTGCTTTCTACGTGTGCTCTTATTTCACCCCAGCAGAGCAAACAAATAAGGGTGTAATTGCTCAGTAGCAATCGTTCAACTTGGAGCTAGAGCTAAACTGAGGTGAATTGAACATTCTAGTATACAAAGAGCCAAATTCAGGTCCTATATGAAAAGAGTCATGGGCCTGCCTACAGTAAGGAAACTGGCCACTAATTCAGCTATTCCAGTTGGGTTTTTTTTTTTTTTTTTCCGTTTACTTCTTTTGGAAGTGGCATGTAGAACTCAACTACACTGCACAGTTTTTGTGATGGAGCTTAAACTAATGGCTCCAAAACAGCAATCATTTCAGTCTCCATACTGCCTGTAGGCTAATTGACTGGATAACAGAAATTGCAAAGGGTCACAGATACTGATTGTAGGGCCTCTTACAATCCTGGCGATGTTTCACATTGCGCACTCACTTCAAATGCCTTGAATATTCCAAAGGAAAAGTTTTGGTTTTCATCCAGAGGACCACAGAATGTTAATCTGGATGGCACAGGCATTAGATCAGTTTGACCAGAAAGGAGGTTCATTAAGAGCAGTGTAAGGTTGTTCTAA